AGCTGACTCCTATGCTCTGCAGCTTCAGTAATCGGATATAACGCTGCTTGGGAGGATACYCCAGTGCTGGAACATCTGCTTGCCTCATCAGCGAGCCCACGGATCAGGACTTGGATTGGTCTGTTTGTCACAGAGTGTGTTATTTCATTTAGTTGTTCAAGCTGTTTTAACACCAGACTTCCAAAGGTGCTTACATGGTAATAGTCGTCTGGCCCCAGCCATTGACAAATGGTTAGCACTGTTGATAGCAGATTGTGTGGCTCTACAAYCTTTATCCTTATAGAGGTTTCACCTGTAAAGAATTTGCTCCATAACATCCAAGGGAATGCATCGGTGTACACATAAATTAAAACCTTATCATTTGGAGTAGCTATAGCTTTATTGATACCATCTTGAGCAAGAAACCATGTTAATGCCTTGGAAACATTTACAAATCCAGCTACCATATCATTCTTTTCAAAAAAGCTTAATTCGAGACTTTCCTTTAGATCTTTCTTTGTTTTCTTGAGCTCATCCACCATATCATCTCTAGGCACAAAGATGTTCACCCCTATGATTTCATGAATCATGTTTCCRAGGTAGTTTCGCAGTGTCCGTGTGTACGATTGTTGGCTAATGTCATAACTGTTAACTAATTCTACTGAAAACCTGCGAAAGCATCAGTAAATAGACGCTATTTGTTAGTATTTAGTTTGRTTTTATTTCATAGTTTTTCTGTGTTTGCTCTAGTGACAGGATAAAAGTTGGCTGAATGAAAATTGAAAAGACGGGCGTACCTTAATCAAGTCATCGTTGTCCTTTTCTACAAACTCAAGTGAGTGTCTCAAGTTTTCAGAGATTGCTCTCCAGTACCTTTCTCTTTCCTTTGCGCATTTCAACTCTTTCATTAAATCATTCTGCATGCCATGAGTCGCTACATTTGGTTTTGCTTTCGTTGGCAAGGGCAGCACTAGAGCCTGCATGGACAAGGAGTTGATATCTTTTAGACTTTTAAGTTGTTGAGGTACGCCAAGGATCTGTCTAGCAGGCTGTCCATTCAAGGAAACTGTCCATGATAACATTTTTGAAATTGTTATTTGGCGTTCCGCAATGAATTTTCCATCATACAAAGAACCTTGCATAAGCATCATAGAATCGTCAGTGGAATGAATGGACAATTGACCATTCTCTTAGCGACGGGTCTTTTTCCACATGCTGCTTGATTTGGTCGATAGAAATGCCAAAAGATGTGTCAGGGAGTTTGTGGGGTATAGAAATATGGATTAAATTAGATATCACATAGACTTTTCATAGATTCTAGTTCAATGCTACTTTATACTCACCGTTCACTAAATGGACCGTTGATGCTGCCGACCAGATGACTAGAATGACGACAGGAAAATATAAACTAAATAAAAATAACAAATTTAAATGACATTTAAAATATTTTCGAAATTAATATTAATTTTATTGATAATAATAAGAACGTACACTTCTTAAATACACGTACACATTCTTAAGTTAGAAAAAAGTGAAAGTTACAACTTACTGACATCATATTTAAATCTGTTGAAAAAAGTGTTCATAAATCGAGAAGTATGTATTTTAGGTTTAGCTGCTGCAGAGTATCTTAAGTTATATCTAGTTGATTTAGGCTTAGGTATTAAACTGTAGAGCGGATGACTTTCAGTAGAGGCTGCCTTCTTATAGAGCCGAATGTCCTGTTGTTCTAAGATCTTGTTTATGTCTAATCTGATGGATATATATTTACGTTTAAAGCAGCGATCAAGAAAGGCCTGTATGGTAGCTAATTCAGCAACGGCTGCTCCATATACAGATACACCATATGTGATATTTGGTAAAACTAAGCTATGGAAAAGGTGATCAAGCTCTTTCTGGTTATAACCCTCCTTACGTAAACACCTAAGTACATACAAACATTTGTTGGCCTTGATTAGCTTATTTCTAACGTGCAGACTAAATCTACAGTTGCCCTCAAACTCAATCCCAAGGATGGTCAAATTATCGCACTGAGGAATACCAACAATGGTATTAAAAAAACCTGTTTGCACACCTTTCTTATAAAGTATTAGCTCCTTACATTTACTTGGATTTCATGACATGTGATTATTATTAGTCCAAGTAAGAAATTGATCAACTATATTACCTGAGAAATCATTATAGCCATAAACCGGCGATATTAAAGTGGAATCATCTGCGTATTTAACTATGCAAGACTCCTTCTTAAACATTATGTCTAGATCGTTCAGAATAATAATAAATAGATAAGGGCCGCTGACAGTACCTTGAACAGTTCCTTTGTTGACGCTCTTAAATTCGCATACAATGTTATTCCATACCACTCTCTGATGTCTGTCTTTCAGGAAATCCRGGTACCAATTAACTAAGTAAGCGTTAAGACCAGTGTCCTTAAGCTTCATCGCAAGCAACTCGTGCTTGACGGAGTCAAAGGCTTTGCTGAAATCCATGGCGAAAAGGCGGATAGCCTTACAGGCAGGATCATCAAGGTGTTTTAGTGCATTATTTTGCATCGATAGCAGTGYGTTAGTACAATTACCACCTTGCCTGTAGGCGAATTGGTTTCTGTTGATCTTGTCCTCAACAACCTCTTTGACGTACAATTGATATGTGATTCTTTCGAAGGCTCTAGCTATGACTGGAGTGACACTTATTCCTCGATAATCGTTTGTAGTTTTTGGGATGTCCACTTTGGGAAGGGGTCGGATATTAGCTCTTTTCCAGAAGGCTGGCCATGTGTATGTTGATAAGGATAGATTCCATATGTGTGCCACAACAGGAGCAAGAATTTCAGCATGATCTTTCCAGAACCAGAAAGGGATGGAATCTGGACCGGTGGCAGTTTTATCTAAACGAGACAAGCAATTCCATACCTGAAGATCCGTTAGATATGGTGTTTCCGAGTTGCTGTCAATAATCGCAAGCTGGGGTTCTGTGTAAGTGCTATCTGTGCAAAGCACACTTAAGTAGTTGTTCAAGTCATCCAATTCTGTTTTTGTAAAGGATACACCCATGGAGAAACTGYGCCGGTGTGAAGTAGAATCAACATGTTGCCACCAACTTCGGCTTCCTACTTTATTTGGACGATCACGTCTGTTTTCTGATATTACTTCACAGATTCGCTCATTGATAGCTTTCAAGCGATCGGTTTTATGGCTAGGTATTCTAGACTTGTCTTTCAGCATCAGTTTTAATAGAGGGGACATCCAGGGGGGGGTCCCTTGATGACATCTTGACGGTTCGTTGAGTCGATCCATAAGATATAAGATCTTACTTTCAAGTTTATTTACAGCTGTGTTAACGTCACAGGCAGACAAAACTTCATACCAGTTTTCGTTATTTAGCGCTAAATATAGGTCTTCTCTGMGATGTTTCCGTAAGTCCCGTATGCGTACTTTTCGTCGAATAGGCTTCAGCTTAGTACCAGCAGGTAGTATTACTCCTCTGTGGTCCGTTTTRATCAATATTTGGACAGGATAGCTCTTACCAAATAAATCATCCCTGTTAGTGAGGCAATTGTCTAAACACGAGTTTCCTCTGGTAGGAAAGTTAACGAGTGGTTTCAGACTAGACATGCATTCAAGCTTAGTTAAGTTGAGTTTGTTTAAGTCTCCTCCCAGAACAAAAATGGTATTGGGATAATAACCCCAACGATTACGCGATGCAAGAAAGCAAACGACTTACTGAGATATGAAAATCATGCAGAAACATTATAAAGACATGGGAAAGTAAAACCAACGTTATTTATATATAATTCCAGAATATATTATAAATCGATTTTTATGTATCTATAAACTATGCTGTACAACCCTTTGTACTTTGTTTCATGATGTTTGCTAGAGTGGTTTTCATTAACCCGTTAAATATACTGACTTGTCTACTCTTTTTTTTTCACGATATTTTCGATGAATATTGCGTTGCCTTTGCCTTTAATGTTTTGATTCTGATTTTGATTTTGTTTTGAAAAACACTACTAATAAATATGTACATTTAAGAAAACATAAGTACAAAGAGAGTTTTTTAAAAATATTATTTAAAAATAGCCTTACCTGGACATTTTGTCGAATAAACAGTTTCTTAAGCGATCGGCAATATAATTGTTTGTTAGTACTCTAACTGTGCCGTTCTACAACCAGTGTTAACATCGTTTAAATTTAAACGGCTTGAACGGTTTAAGTTTTTAAATCAGTCACGCTATTGCGCGATCTGGACGAGTGAATGTCAGAGCTGATGATTGACATTTCGCGGAAGCTGTATTCAACGGATCGGCGGTTTATTATTACTACAAAGGTCTACAAATGATACGGTTGTTGTTCGACACGTTTATTTTGATTACGATTTTTGTTGAATGGCTCACAGCGTCGGTGTTTAATACTTTTGTTGGCAAAAGACTTTTCTTGGCCATTTGATCGATGACATTTAAAGTGACCATTTGTCAAGGTCGCTGCATCACGTATCTCGTTTCAGATTACCCCGAAGTTTTTTTCCGCTAACGTTCGGTTCCGAGCGAAGAGCCGAAGAGCCGAAGAGGCTCGTTTGACCGTTATGGTCTCTCTTTTCATTAGTTGTTGCAGTCGAATCTGTCATCGCTGTGTAAATAGATGGCCACCCCAACTGTCAAAATAATTGGATTAACCCAGCAGACGAGAGAACAAAGGCAAGCATCCTAGTTGCCTACCTCGGGGTATTTTAGTGAACTTAAGGTAAATTCGTCACGTAGATTAAATCGCGCGGTTGCATAAGCGGACGGTACAGGCTGGTACGAGTACGTAGTAAACGGCCGTTAAATTAACGTGGCGTACCGAAGTAAACAAAAGTTGAACTTTTGAAGTGAAGAAAATTACAGACCAATCGCCAAGGAAGTTCGGGATACACTCAAGATATACACACGAAGTCAGATAAGTGAATTTCAATGATTCTCAAAGCTATAACAAATACAATCGTAATATCATTCGAAAAGTGTGACGGTTGTCCTGGCGCCCTTGATTATAGGATGCTTTCTTTCATCTACAACGGTAGAACGTCGTAGGCGTCCACCCACACGTAGTTACCCAGACACTTTGATTGGGTCTAGACCACTAACATTTCTTTGTAGCGGTAGAGGTTTCGAACACTTCTTCCGCGAATTCTTGTTGTTGTATGTGTTCCAGTATTTCTATTTCTGCATTCTGTATCTCTTCCGTAGTAAGTGGTGTAATCTCGGCATACTTGACAGTATCTTTGTCTTTACGTGCGCGCACTGCACGTAAAAGCCTTTCACAATATCTCAAAATCCAAGCAAAGTGTTTCTTCAAACTGTACCACGATGAGTAATAATGAATCATTCTGTCGATTGTATTTATGACACAGCTTGTTGCAAAGGAGACAGCCTTCATTTCTTCTTTGACTTCAGGGTCGTTGTCTTAAACCGCTATGGTTACAACAGGTGGTTTAGGCCAACTATCTTCTGGCAACCACAGGAAATCAGGACGCTTTAGCCATCTCTCGTTGGTTACAATTTCTTCAGCAGATAACCCTCTCGAGGCGTCATCCACTGGGTTTAACTTGGTGTTAACATAGTGCCACTGACTCGGTTGTGAATTTTCATGAATCACAAATATCTTGTTTGCGACGAATGTCTTAAATCTTCTATCTTTGTTTGCAATGTAGCCTAAAGCACAGGTGCTATCAGTCCAATAGATGTCTTCATCAATCGATATGTCCAATTCGCGATGAATCATGTTGCTTACTTTGGTCGCAGTTGCTGCTGCAGAGAGCTCGAGTCGTGGGATCGTAATTTTCTTCATTGGCGTTAACCTTGACTTTGCGAGTACAAATGAACAATTAATCCTATCATTGCAGTCCACGAGTCTTAGATATGAAACTGATCCGTATTCACGCTCAGATGCGTCGGAAAAGTTATGTAACTGGCATGTTGCAACAGAACCGAAGTCTTTCGGCTTGAAACAGCGTTCAACAGTGAAATTTTCCAACTTAGGTAGTTCTTGAAGCCATAGTTGCCAACGATCAAGATCTTCTTGGGATATCACATCCCAATCCAATTTCTTCCTGCAAAAATCTTGTAGAATAGCTTTGGCTTGTAATATTTAAGGTGCAACAAAGCCTAAAGGATCATAAATATAGCTCATCAGCGATAAGAGACCACGCCTCGTGGCTGGTCTTTCACAGTTATCTTGAAACCGAAGATGTCAGATTGAACATTCCAATGAATGCCAAGCGCGCGTTCAATGGGCAAATGGTCTAGATCAAGATACTTCACACATCCAGCTCTTTCTGATTCTGGAATAGACTTCAGTACTTCGAGTTCAATACTTCGAGTTCGATAACCATTTAGTAAGTCGAAAACCTCCAAGTGAAAGAAGGTTTCGAAGTTCGTTTACGATTTGAATAGCTGTTTGTTCTCCGTCCACGGACTTTAAACAATCATCCACGTAAAAGTTACGCTTCACAGTTTTAAATGTTTCCTCTGAGAAATTGATTTGTTGTCTTCAGCTGTCTTTTGTAACGCAAAGCTGGCGCAGCTGGGCTACGATACCCCTCCAAATAGATGCACGCACATCTGATATTCTTGTGGTTCCCTTTTTTAGATCTCCATCGGGCCACCATAAGTATCGTAGATAATCACTCGGCCAAAAGTGCTGTTGATTCTTCTCGAAACTTCAATAACACTCCTATGAGACTGTTAAGTCTGGTCCTTGTAACAACTTATCGTTTAGACTAGAACCCTCGTGCTTGGCAGCACAGTCAAATACACTCCGTGTCTTTTCCGGCTTCTGAGGGTGACTAACCGGGTGGTGAGGAAGATACCAGGCTGGGGTTCCTTCTGTTTTCTTTTCTTCTGGTACTCTCTGCGAGTAGCCCTTTTCTTCAAGGTCTTTCATGAACTTAGAGTAGTTTCCGTGTAGCGTTGAGTCCTTCAGAAGTCTTTTCTTTAGTGAGTTCAGTTTCTGTTCAGCGATGATTTTGTTATTACTCAGATCTGGAGGGAAAATGCTCCAGGAAAGCGCAATTTCGTAATGTCCATCTTTCAAGGTTGCTGATTCTTCCATGAGATGGAGAGCTCTTTTGTCCTCTAGAGACATGGCTGTTGTGTCATCATGATGCTTCATATCATTAAATTCAATATTGCAGTATCGTTTGAACTGTTCGTTAAGCTGAACATCGGTATGTATTCAATTAACAGTGTAGGTTTGCGTTTCTTTCCGGCCAAGTGGTCCGTTGATTGTCCATCCTAATACAGTCCTCACAGCGTAAGGTCCTCCATCCTGGCTCTCTATGACTTGCTTTGGTTCCAAAGCCTTCACCACATCGTTGCCGATAAGGAAATCAACATTAGAATCAACGCTGGTCAGTTGTATTCCATCAAGGTGTATCCACCTTTCTACGTCACTTTGACGAGGGATGTCCTTCGTAGACACTGGGAGTACTGGGCAAGACAAAACTTCTGGCAGTGCGACACAGTTCTTTTCATCGAAATCGTACACCTCCAGAGCAACCTGACGACATTTCATCATGACATTGTCACTGTTCAAGGTTGTAACATAGACTTCGGCTTGTGCACCTGGGATTAACAGACGATTAATCACGTCATCAGTACAGAATGTCCTGTTTGAGCCGGGATCCAGAAACGCGTACGTCGTTACGGAAGCGTCATTTTTCGTAGTTCGAACCTTTACAGGCACGATAGAGAGACCGATCATTGAAGCACCGGCCCCAGTGCTATTACATAGCGCCTGAGAGTTGATAAAGCTCGATTGAGCTTTATCTCCTGATGCTTGGTTTGATGAATTAATTTGATTGCCTTTGTTGTGTTCATTGTTCTTTGGGTGTAGAAAGGTAGAATGTTTGCGGACCAACTGTTAAGGACTAAAAGACACTGTTGAAGCGTTAAACAACAATATAACCGAGAAATGTCATAAACTCAAGTTCAGGGGATAGTTCAATGTCCATTTTGTCCTTCAATCTTTAAATCGTAGGGGAACCATTGTTACTCGTCCACATCTTGTCGTTTGACTTTTCACTTCAAATGAACCATTCCCAGGTGTTTTGTCCAAAATCGCATTAGACTCTGCTGGAACTTCTGAGGACTTACTTTCCATTTGTTTATTGAGGCTAACGTCTGGGGCACTGTGGGGATGCTGTATTGAACGATCGTCTGCTTGCTCTGCTTCATTGTTTTCCTGCA